TAATCATCATCAGCATCATAATCGTCATTAGCATCAGCCGCAGCGACAGCAGCACCACCATCATAATCATCATCATCAGCAGCAGCATCATCAATATCAGCATCAACAACAATATCACCATCCTCCTCATCAGCATCAGCATCGTCGTCGTCATCGTCAGCAGCAGCATCATCATCACCATATCATCGCCGGCACCACCAGCACCCTCCTTCCTCCTCCTCATCAGCATAATCCTCATCATAATCATCATCATCGCCATCATCATCGCCATCATCATCATCATCATCGTCGTCATCATCCTCAGCAGCAGCAGCACCATCACCATCGTCAGAATAGTACTAGTACACATCCGACTGCTACGAGCAATAATAATAACAACACTAAAAGATACGAGTACAGCAATATCATCATCATCATCATCAGCATCATCATCACCACCATCATCATCATCATCATCATCATCATCATCCTCATCATCATCATCATCATCATCATCATCATCATCATTATCCTGCGTCGTCGCCGCCATTGACTGTACCATCCTCACCATTATGCCACCACCTGCCCCCTCCCCCCCACCGAAAGGAAAACGAACAACAAAAAACATTCTAAAACTTTATGACTGTTCGCTCTGATCTGTTCGCGTGCCATTCAACACGTGCATTGCAAACCCTCGATGCCCGCCCTCTGGCTCCTCGATGGCACCCCCTCGTGGGGATATATCTTCCCTACCTACCGCGCGTAGTTGGCGCAGGCCCTAAAAAACAGGGGAAGGAGGGGAGGAGTGAAGAGACAAAGGGGGAGGGAGAGGATGGAGCACGGGAGAAATTTGCAGGAGGCATAACCAGGAGCAGCAGCAGCGGCAAAACCAGCGTAGCGTGTCGGGCAGGCTGACACTAACGGGCAGGTCGGGCGGGCCGGCCCAGGAGGCCAGGTCGACCGGGAGGGTCGCCAACGCGTCAACCAATCATGAAGGAAGTTTCGAGCGACAACGTGATTTCCAGGTAAATCGCGGGAGCAGCCAAAACGAAAGCGCGATCGATGAATCATGGGGACACGGCGCCGCAAGGAGTTATGAAAGAACGAAGGACATCCCAGCGAAAACAATATTCCTGGATAAATTACGAGGAAGTCCCGCGCGAGAGCGAATTTGAAATCACTTGTGGGGAAATATCAGGCGGGAGCTGCTGTTGAAGTCAACCGGGAGTCAAGGTCGCAGTGTATTGACCACAGACCTGACCTGATAAAAAAAAACCGGGTGCGAGCCCTGGGGGGAAACACTTCAATTGTGTTGCTCATCTTTATGTTGTCAACGTTTGATGGCCGAGCCGGCAGACGCATACGCTTTGAAGGCAGTGGTTTGAAATCCAAACTCCCACAGCGAACGCTCAAGCGGGTGAGGTCGGGGGGGGGGGTAGCTTGAGCAACGTTGCGGCGACAGTCGAAAACCTCTCAACCAACACATGCGACGCAGAGACACGTTGCTCATTTCTCTGCGGTAAACGTTTGATGGCAGAGCTGGCATACGCAGATGCTCTGAAGGCTGTGGCTTGAAAACAGAATCCTTACGCAAAAACGGAGGTTCACAGCGAAGCGGCATGCCCCTCATCAAAAATGGGGCAGGGACCCCTCGAGGTCAGGACCCTGGGGCGGCGGAGCGGCGTCAGAGATGACTCTGAAGAAGGGCTCCAAAACCTAGCAGGGCATTGGGCGGCGTTGCTGGTCATTGACGAACCAAGAAGGGCGAGGTGTTTCTAACCAAACCTAAAACAACAGAACCAACCGAAAACAACAGAAACCTCGTTTCCCGTGAAACGACATCTCCTGGACACCATCCGAGGAAGGTCAACTCCAACGACGGTCTGACATGAGAGATCGGTCGCCTGGCGGCACCTGGTTCTAAAGACGCACTGATGAATCGAAATTCGACTGAACTCTCCGACTGCACGATGAGAGGATCCTGCCGGAGCCGGAAGGTTGCGATCTCATGCTTCATACAAACTTTGAGAACTGCAAAAGATGCGCCCAGACACGCGCTCCCCACCATAACCTCAAGACGGCCAACGGTGTCCAAATTTGGGGGGCCACGGGCGCGCAAGGCATCGCGCGCAGGATACCGACTGCGCGCCGCAAGAAAAGTCGAACAAGGAGGAGCCATCATCACCGCCACTACCCGGCCCTCGGCCAGGTGCCGTAAGATCACGCGAACGTCTGCCATAGAAGTGAGATCCCAATCGGGAGCACTCCGGAGGTCCAGGTTCACCGCTGGCAATCCCCATCGGGCGACCGAACGCCGAGGGCCGCTGCCGCCGCCAGAAAGGTCGAGCACGCATCGGCGAGGCGCGCTCAGGAAAGCCCGGCACACTTGAAAGCGGCGCCCGCGCCTGCCCGAGCCCTGGGCGGCAGCGGCGCCGGCTCGGTCTGCAGCGCCACTCTCTCGAATGACCGCAGGCAGTGCGCCGCGCGGCCCTGGTCGCCCCTGCCGAGATCGCTCCTGGCCTGGTTCACGCGGCCTGCCTTCCCGCAGCGGCGGGCGCTCTTCAAGGCCTGCCGCCGGCCCCTCTTCATCGCCCGCTCCTGGGCCCGGAGGCCCCAGGCGCGATCCGCGCCAGCCCCGGCGCGGCGGCCCCGGCAAGGCACCTCCGCCAAGCCCGGGCCGAGACACGCCCCGCGGAACACCCCCGCGCACTCGCGGCAGGCCCAGTCCAGGAGGCGGCCCAATCCCCATCGCCGCGACAGCAATCGGTAGCCGCTCTCTGTCCAGCCGAACCCCCGGGAGACAGGGGGGCGCCGTCGTCGCTTGTTCCCCCCGTCTTGCTCCTCTCGTTCTCCTCCTCGGGCAACATCGGCAGCGCCCCGGTTGCCGCGCCGCCAGGGGCCGGCGGCGGGAAGTTCTGCGGCCCGAGGCTCGGCGTCTCCCCCGAGTGCAGATAGCGCTCCACCATGGCCAGAGACAGCGCGGCCGCGTGCCCCCCCCCGGCGATCCCCGCGCAGATGGCGACCCATAAACCGAGCGTCAGGGGCCGCCGCGAGCGAGATGGCGACACCTCGCGCCCGCCCTCGAGGGCCCGCAGCGCCCGCGGCAGGCGGTCGGCGCCGCATCGCCCACGCCGAGGCACGTGGAAACCCACCCCTGCCAACGACTTCTCGCGCATCCAGTTCTCGCAGCCCACCTCGAACTCGTGGCTCACGAAAGCTACCGAGGCGGCGTCGAGGCGCTCGGGCCGATCCGGGATCGCGGCCGAGCAACAAGAACTCGCGGGCGCGCTGGCGGCAGTGGGCAGCAGGCGCCGGCGCCGCCGACCTGATCTCCAGCGGCGTCAGCCTGGCGGACAGCGCGCCGCCGCCCATCTGCGCGGCGAGGGTCTGTCGGACATGGCCCTTCCCGCGCCAGCTCAGACCCCGCTGGCGAGCCGCCGCGGCCGGTCGCTCCGCGGGGTCGGGCGAGTCGTCGCCCTCGCTGAAGCCCGCGCCCTCGTCGGCCCCGCGGTCGCGCCCCCCGCCCTGCGGGCCTGGCCCATGGGCGGGGCGAGGAGACGCCCCCTCCGCCGCTCGCCCCAAGAAGGCCCCTGCGCCCCCGTCGATCTCTGGCCGCGCCCGCGGGGGCGCGGGCCCCGCGCTCGGCGGCGGCCAATCGGTCCGCCCCCGCCCCAGCGCCAAGATCCGAGCCCGACTCGAGAATAACTCCGTCGCCGGCCCCGCCCGAGAGGCAGCTCAAAAGCGCCCGCGCGCTCGGCCCGGGAGGGCGCCGGGGCGGCTCGCGGGAGGCCGCCCCCGCCCGCGCCTGGGCCAGACGCCTCTCCACCATTGCACTCAGGGTCAGGCTTCGAGGACAGGCCTGAGCCAAAAAGGGGCCAAGCTGGTCAGCAGACGGGCCCCCGCCCCTCTCCGGGCCCATCGCCGCGGCATCTGCGCCATCATCGAGGCGAGAAGCCAAAGTCTTCTCAGCGTCGCAGGAAACATCATAAACTCTGCTGCCCTCGCCCAGAGTTGAACTCACTGGGGATGCGACGGAAGCATCGGCGGACGTCTCGAGCAGGGGAAAGTCTACGTCATCGCCTCAGTTGCCCGCGCGCCCCGCAGCCCCTCCACCTCCCCCGAGCGAAACAGAGCGCAACGGCCACATTGTCACCGAGCAAGATAACACGACAGTTTTTTCACGGCTCTGGCGCGCAAGGCGAGGGCTCCCGCCTCGACCGCCGCCCCCGCCTCAAGGTGCAAAATGTCAGCGATCAACGAGGGTGGCGCGCCACCGGTCTTTCGCAAGCAGGCCGCTCGGCCCCGTTGCGCCCCCGGCGCGCCGCCTCCGGGATCTCCCGCGCCCGCCTGTTGAGCCTGACTGGGCGGCCCAGGACGTCGCGCTCCACCTCGACGCCCTCGGGGCCCGCCGCCTCGAAGGCGTGCTCTTGGGCTCGGGCGCCGACGAGCCAGAGGCGGCCCTGCTCCGGCGCGCGCCCCGCCGCGGCGTCGCCCCCGGGCCTCCAAAGGGGCGGCGGCGCGCCGAAGCCGCTGAGGCTCGCGTCGTTGGCGCGCGCGCAGGGCTGCCCCCAGTAGGCCTCGATGAACACCACCGCCCGCACGGCGGCGACCAGCTCCTGTCGGGCCGAATCCCAGAGCGGCTGGAACCTGCCGCAGGACTCCCGCGCGAAGCGGCGCGCGGCGCGGAAGATCGACGGCAGCTCTCGGCGCGCGAGGCACAGGGAGGCCGCGCGGCCGAGCGCGGCCTCGACTTGCCAGCTGGCCACCCTCTTCCGACGCAGCAGTTTCCGAACCTCCGGGCGCACAAGGGCGAAGCTTCGTCGCTGGGGCGGGCGGCTCGGGCGTCGCCGCCCACTTGCCGCCCCTGCGAGGCCCCGCCGTGCTCGTGGATCTCCATCTCGTGGAACTTTTGCGAGTCGCAGTCGAGGTCGCGCTGGGCCTCGTTCAAAGCCTGGCCCACGAAGTCACCATCGAAGGACAGCGCCCTTGCGTTGTCAACGCGCGCGCAGTGGCCGGCCGCCCTCGCCCCGGGCCCGCCGAGGAAGAGGGGGGGCCTCGCCCGGCGGAGGCAGTCCGCCCAGTCTCCGACGCCGATGCGAGAGCGCAGGCTGCGCAGGAGGCCCCCGGGATCGTCGACCTCCACCCCAGGCGGCCCTCGACGCTCAGGAGGGCCACGCCTGGGGGGAGATCGCGCGACGACAATCAACGATGAGCCCGAATGTCGCACTTCTTGGCGACGAAGAACACGCCCATGACGCAAGCGGGCAGCCAGGTGAAAGCCACCAGGCCGGCGTCGGCAGCCCTCCGCACTGGGCGGCCGCAGGCGCGGGGGGTCCTCTGCGGCGCTGGGTCCGCGCGGCAGCCCGGCACCCCTTCGCGCTGCTGACTTACCGCCGACTCTTCCGCGGGCCGGACCACGCGCTTCTCGACGTCCTCGAGCTGAATCCCCGCCCCCGAAAGCAACGCAGAGATGAGCGACGGCGCATTGCGCGGGCCACTCGGGCGAGAAACCCCGGGACACTCGCATGGCCCGGCGCCGCGCGAAAGCGACGGCGCATGGCCGGAGCGCGCCCCGTCGCGGCCAAGGCCCCGCGCTCGCCGACGGCGCCGCCGACGTCGCCCCAGCGGGCTGCCGCCTCGTCGACGCGCTGCCGCGCGCCAGCCTGAAGGCCCAAAATCTCGCGCTCCGACGCCGCCGAGATCCCATGGAGAACGGGGCGCCAGGCGCTACCACGCATCCAAAGTCGGCACGTCAGCGGCCGCCTCGACGTCGCGAAGCAGCCGCCCGCGCCGGTCGCCAGTCACCGCCGCGGGAAGGCCCGCGGCTCGCAGCGGAGGCAAGGGCGGCAGCGCGCAAGCCCTGCGGGGTTCCCGGGCGGCGCTCGGGCCGGCGTCGCCCTCCGCCAGCGGCGGCGCGCTGGCGGCCGCGGGCTCCGCCCGCGGCCGCCCCTGCCACCTCCGCGACCTCCTCCTGGCCTGCCTCGGTCGCCCTCCACGAGGGCAGCCCGCCGGCCAAGGCGGCCGCGGCGCTGGCGTCGGCGCCGGGCCCAGCGGCGGCCCTGCTGACGCGCGCGGGCGCGCGGGCACTCCAGCTCGCTCCTCGGCCTGCCGCGCGGCGCGCGTGCGCGCGTCCTCCGGCGCGAGGTCCATGGACGAGGCGGTCGCGCTGAAGTGCTCGGCCGCGCCCCAGTTCGGCCTTTCCGCACCCTTCGCGGACGCCCCCATGCACTACAGCAGCCAGCGCGCGATCACCTCCAGAGCCGCGATGGCCCGCGTGTTCAGCCGGTCGAAACTGCCAGCCTGCGAGCGCCTCGACGAGGCACTCGACCTCGTGCCGCACCAGGCCCGACCCCTTCCAGCGATGCGCACCTTGCGGGCCCACTCAAGCAACCAGGCCTTGGGGCCCCCGCCGCGCCTGACGAACTTCCTGCAAACGGCGAGGCGCGCTGGCGGCCTGCGCGGGCCAACCGATCCTCTCCTGGGTCGCCTCGCGTAGCACTTTGTGCCGGTCCTTGTGCGCACCCGTCTAGTCGATCCAGCGCGCGCGAAGGTCATCGCCGACGAGCTCTCGCTCGGCCAGCGCCCGCTGCGGGCGTGCTCTAGGGGCGCTGGCCGCCGCGTCGCCGAGCAGCCGCTGCTCGAGACCACCCCCTGGGCACCTGCACCGCTCGGCGCCTCGGAGCTTCGCTGCGCGCCACTCGGCAGCCCAGCCGACCTCGGCAAGCTCTACGGGGCGGTAGCCTCCCGCGCGGTCGGCGGCGATTCCGAAGCGCCCCCGACAGCAGAGGCCCTCGCCTGACACCACTTCGGCGCCGGAGGCGAACTCCCCGTCGGTCTCCGCCATATCCTGAGCATTCTCTTTGGCTGGAGAGCAAAGGGTGAAATCTGAAATGCCGTTCGATGGGATTTCGAAGCTTGAATCTGCAAGAAGGCGGATCACAAGACGGATTCACTTTCGAGGTGCAAGCCCATATGGATTTCACCCTGAGCCCTCCCCCATTAAGACACTTGCTCAGAGATCGCAACTCAGCCAGGCGAAGCCCTCCGGCGGCTTCGCGGGGAGCATGTCCGCGCCGGCACTGGCAGGACCTTCCGCGGCGGCGGCGGCTCCGCGGGCGGGGGAGGCGGCGGCGCTGCCGGCTCCACCTCGAGGCCGCCTGCCCCGCACGCGGAGGCGAGGCTCGGCGCCATGGGCCGCCGAGTAGGGGGGGCAACCGCAGGATCCCCCCTCGCCGGTCGACTGGCGCGGCGATGCCCTCGGCCGGGCCGCCGGCTCCAACGAGGGCGGCCGCCTCCGCCCGCGGCCCGTCGGCCAGCTCCGCCAGCTCGTCGGGCTCCAGCGGCCCGCGTCTGTAACGCGATCACCAGCGGCACGCCAGCGGGGCTCCCCTTGCGGCCAGTCGGCAGCGCGGTGCTGCTGCAGTCGCTCCTAGACCCCAGACATCCGACGCCTCGATTTTTTCGAGACGCAGGCCCCCGACCTCCCGACCACTTCCCTGGGACCGGTTTGTCATCCCGAGTCGTTTTTTGACGGCCCCGAGGCCCGGCGAGGGCCCCGAGAAGCCAAAAACTATGAAAAACCTATGTCTCGATTTTTTCGAGACGCCCGATGTCTGGGACCCCACATGCATGTCGCCGCCCGGCGCGTAGACAAAGAAGCCCTCCGCCTCGCCACTACCCCCAGCGACGTGCCACAGGAAGAGCCTCTCGTGCGCCCAGGCGGGGTCGTCCTCGAACGTGACCCTGCCCCGGGAGCCGGGCGGCGGGCCCAGCGCGGGCTCGAGGCGAGGGCGCGGAGCCAGGCGCATCGCGGCCTGATGCTGGGGGCAGGCCTCGCCGAGGGGCAGCCGCAAGCGAGCCCAGCTAGCGCTGCTGGCGCAGCCGCGCCAGATGCACGCCGCGGCCCCCAGCTCGACGGCGCCCAGCAGCAGCAGCAGCAGCAGCAGCAGCAGCAGCAGGAAGCTGGGCACCCCGATGGTGGTGCTCCCCACGCCCGTGCCCAGGACGCAAAAGCTCTCTGGCTCGGAAGCCCGCCACCCGCACGGCGCGATGGGCGCGCAAGCGAGCGGGGTGGTCGAGGACCCAGCACTTGAAGTGGCGCTGGCCACGGTAGTGCTGGGGGTGCTGCTGGTCCAGAGAGCCGCCGCAAGACCACCAGGGCACGCGTCGCCGCCCCACCAGCTCGCTGGATGCACGAACGCGCCAATGAGCTGGGCGAAGGTAATCGCGGCGAGCTGGGCGAAGGTAATCGCGGCGCCGCTGGTGGTCCCAGCGAGCACGCTGGGGCCTCTAGCTTGAAAAACATTACGTTGATACTGGAAAACCTGTTCAGCAAACACCTGCGACACAGAGACAGCCACAACCACAACAACAACAACAACAACAACAACAATTACTAGCACGTGGGTACACACCGTTCTCACCAGTGCCAGGGTTTTCATAGGAGGCGGGCAATACCCCCACTTTGTGGGGGGGCCGGTTCAAGCTCTACCAAATTTCCAAACGACTCTTCGCCACCCCCCACACCCAGCTTCCCGCCCTATGACGTTCGGACACTTCACTTCGTGGCCTGCGGACGACCGTGGCTACTACACTGGCGCATGGGTACAGTGACTTGTTGTTGTGGTTTTTTAGGATGCGGACAGCGCGCGCGGGTAGAAATTTTGAAAATTCGTACAGATGTTTTTCGAGGACCTACGGTGCGATTCGTATGATTTTATGTTGCGCGGTGCTAAAATTCCTAAGAAACCCAATGGTATTTGAAGATTTCGGCGTGCGCGCGCGAAGAAAAAACGAATGTGTCCCGCATGGTATTATTTGACAGGGATGATGGCCCTGGCAGGTGCGCAACCGTTGTTGGAGAAGTTCGAAGCACGTGAAAAAGTTGCTCGCAAAAGCCCGTTTGACAGAAATGTTTAAAAAGTGTTGGGTTTCCTACAAATCCGCAAGAGCGCGCGGGATGAATGTTTGACATTTTTTTTTTGAAAAACCATTGTTTTTTTGATGTTTTTTATGTTAAAATCGTTACGAACACTCAGGTTTTGGAAGGATTTCGTCTTGCGCGCGCGAATGTCCACTTTACCTTATTTTTTGCAAGGGATTCTTGAAGTTTGGTTATATTAGAACAAGAAATGTCCACTTTGCCTTATTTTTTGCAAGGGAAAACCGATCGTAACAACACAACCGGATCTGGTACACATCGTTTTGCCTGAGACTTCCTCGCGGAAATTATGAAAATGAGGCTGCGGCCTAGGCGCGGCGAGGGGGCCGCGCACCAGGGGTCCCAACAATAATTATTCTTTAGAATAAATAATGTTCAACAACAACAACAACAACAACAATCATCTTAAGACTGATCGCTCTTATACGCGCGCGCGTCACTCAATATGTAAATCCCAAACCCTCGATACCCACCCTCTTCGTCTTCGGTCATACCCCTTTGGGGGTATATCTTTTTTACTCGCCACGTGTAGTTGGCGCAGCCCCTAAAACAGGAAGAGCAGGGGGAAGGAGGAAGGGAGAGCGAGGAGGAAAAGAGTGGGGGGAGGGAGGGAGGAGGGAAGGGGCAAGGGGGGGAGGATGGATGGAGGACGAAAGAGGTTAGCAGGAGGGGGAGGGGGGCAAAAGAGGAGGTAAACAAACGGACGAACCAGACAGACTGGTCGAGCGGCGGACTCTGAGGGGCGGGTCGGGCTGGCGGGGCGGGCGGACGCCAACGGACGGGTCGGGCGGCGGACCCTCGCTGGCGGGTCGGGCGGGCGGTGGCTTAAAGCGGGCGGGCGAGATGCCAAGAGAGCGAACGGGCGGGCTGTAACAGGCGGATCGGGCGGGCGGAAGTCTCAGGCGGGAGCGCCTCCGCCTGAGTAAACTGCGAGGAAGTCCCAGGCGGGGGCGGGGGTCCGGAGTAATTTGCGAGGAAGTCTCAAGCGGGAGCGCCTCCGCCTGAGAAAACTGCGAGGAAGTCCCAGGCGGGGGCGGGGGTCCTGAGAAAATTTGGAGGAAGTATCAGGCGGGAGCCGTT